GAATAGAATAGAATAGAATAGAATAGAATAGAATAGAATAGAATAGAGTAGAATAAGAGTAGAGATAATAGAATAGAATAGAATAGAATAGAATAGAATAGAATAGAATAGGACAGGACAGGACAGGACAGGACAGATTAGATTTTTGTTTATTGGCCAAGTGTGATAGGACACACAAGGAATTTGTCTTGGTGCAAATGCTCTTGGTGTACATAAAAAGAAAAGATACATTCATCAAGAGTCAAGAATCATAAGGTACAACACATAATGATAGTCATAGGGTACAATAAGCAATCAAATCATACTAGAAAACACTCAATATAAATCATAAGGATACAAGCAAGAAAGTTACAGTCCTACAGTCACAAGTGGGAAGGGATGGGTGATAAGGAATGATGAGAAGATTAATAATGCAGACTTCGTAAATAGTTGAACAGTGTTGAGGGAATTATTTGTTTAGCAGAGTGATGGCGTTCGGGGGGAAAACTGTCCTTGTGTCTAGTTGTTCTGGTGTGCAGGGCTCTATAAGTGTCATTTTGAGGGTAGGAATTGAAACAGTTTATGTCCAGGATGTGAGGAGTCTGTAGATATTTTCACAGCCCTCTCTTGGACTCGTGCAGTATACAGGTCCTCCATGGAAGGGAGGTTGGTGGTAATTGTTTTTTTCTGCAGTCCTAATTATCCTCTGAAGTCTGTGCCTGTCCTGTTGGGTTGCAGAACCAAACCAGACAGTTATAGAGGTGCAGATGATAGACTCCATAATTCCTCTGTAGAACTGGATCAGCAGTTCCTTGGACAGTTTGAGCTTCCTGAGTTGGCGCAGGAAGAACATTCTTTGCCGTGCTTTTTTGATGACATATTTGATGTTAGGTGTCCATTTTAGGTCTTGTGATACAATAGAACCTAGAAATTTGAAGGCCTCTACTGTTGATACTGTGTTGTCTAGTATTGTAAGAGGTGGTAGTATGGGAGGGTTTCTCCTAAAGTCTATCGCCATTTCTATGGTTTTGAGTGTGTTCAGTTCCAGATTGTTCCGGTCACACCACGAGGCAAGTTGTACAAGCTCCTGTCTGTATGCGGATTCGTCATTTTCTCAAATGAGACCAATCACCGTTGTGTCATTGTGAGAAGCAAAGTCAAAGGGGAAACCAGATTCACTTTAGTAATTTCACCTGCCTCACCTGCAGAGATTCGCTTTAACAACCGTGGCAAGAGGAGGTCACCAAAGCAGGGCAAAACTCCCTTAAGGAATGTCTCACTTAGCAACAGAAATCTTGGGCTCGGCTGTGGTCGTACCTGTATCGATCTGAGAGCTTTCAGAATCTCTCCTAATTTTAACAGCAAGAATTATTTTGAAAGATAAAACAGATTTAAAAAAAGCAAAGGCAGGAACTGAACCAGCAAATGTACATAAAATCCTAGGATTATACAGAGAAACCTGATCAGACAACGATTATCTCCTCCTGATGCCAAAATACATTCCAGAGATGCAGCATTTCAGCAGGGAAGACCTTATCCCCAATTACCACCCACCTTGTGGCAGAAAATAGGAAAATTAGTAGAAGGCCCACCCAGGATTCTTTATTTATATCTGCATTTTTTTTTCAGTCTTTATCAGTGAGCATCTCCAGGAGGGAGAACTTAGATGGAGCTTCCAACCACCCAAGAGAAAAACAAAGGAAAAAAAGGAGGAGGAGAAGCAGAAAGGGAGCCACAGAGTAACAAAAAAAAATGAGTGTAAATGCAAAAATTGTGAGGTTTTGAAAAATGGGTGGGTTAAAAATGCCACGGAAAATGGAAACAAAGAGGCTTTTAGCTAGCAAGGGAAATAAATTACACTGTAGGTGCCTGTAAAGATTAGAACCTTACTGTAGATTTTTGCCTCTTAAATACTTGCTGAAGATTCATAATTTCTACCCTTAAAGCTTCATCTTGCTTTAATGGAAGGAGAAGATGGTAATTCTCTCTAAAAGCCATTTGACTGACTCCTCTAATTTGGAGAAAGAGAGAGGAATTTTTTGTATTTAACAAAGAGGGGATATTGAGACTAGTAACTTCCTACTAAAAGAAACAGGATGTGATTTGCAACTCCTTGCTTAAGACAATATTTTGTCTAGTTTCAATGGTGTATTTGTGTATTACCTCTGTCCAGACACTGCTTCATGGTGTTCATTGTCTCGCTTAATTTTGTTGAAAAGTCGGGAATCAAAATGGAATGCTTGTTTTCTCTCTATTTTCTCCTCGTTCAGATATAATGTGAAAAGGACTGGGAGTGAAACACAGCTAGTTGCTCGATTTATGACCACAACTGAGGTACCTGCGGCAAGAAAAGTCGTGAATTGGGGCAAACCTCACCAAACAATTGCCTCACTTAAGGACAGAAATGTTGGGCTCGATTGTGGTCATAAGTCAAGGACTACCTGTAGTGTAATCCAGGGCCGGTGGTGGTCTTACATCAACAACTACTAAGGTATTTAGACAGCTAGGCTCCATCCATAGTTCAGAATTGTATTTTTTGCACAAATATTGGAAGAATAAGGATAGTCCTACAGAGGAGAAGATCGTTAAAAAGATATTAGATTGTGCAAAGATTAGGATAGATTGACCCTAAAAATAAGGGACAAGGAAGAATCAGAATAATTCTTAAGATGGGATGTGTTTTATCAGTGACTAGATAACAGAAGTAGAAATTAGACGATAAAAAGATCGCTACTGATACTAGGTACAAGTAAATAATGAAAGATCATGATTATACTGTATATAAGCAAACAATATACTATCATTGCTATTATTCGCAGTAGTATTATTGTTATGAATATTGGACTATATAAGTTAAATAACTCAGACAATGCAATGTTCACTAAGCATTTATGTTGATTGAAATAAAATTAATTAAAGAAGGAAGGAAGGAAAGAAGGAAGGAAAGAAAGAGAGAGAGAAAGAAAGAAAGAAAGAAAGAAAGAAAGAAAGAAGAAAGAAAGAAAGAAAGAAAGGAAGGAAGGAAGGAAGGAAGGAAGGAAGGAAGGAAGGAAGGAAG